TTGCGGTGGCCAGCCGATGTACAAGTTAGTGCTTTTATCCTCCCAGACGAGTCTGATACCAATTCATCGATCCCGGAGGGATGGAAGGCTTGGTTGGCCTGGGCGGGCATCGATCCGGGATTCGGGATCCCTTGACCGTGCGTGTGAGATAGTGCCCCACTTGCCGCTACACCACCACCGCCCTTTTTGTTGTTATTTCCTCAGAATCTGCCTCATTTCTGGTGTTAGGGAGTTAGGTATAGGCTGAGTTAGGCTCAGCAATTTCTGCAAGATGGTACTCGGAAAAACTGGAAAGTTAGTTCCTTAAGCATTCGTCAGTTTTGAAGGGCTTGAAAATGTTTAGTTTGCTCAGGGCAGTCCGAAGATAATGATGGAATCTCATGCTGACGTCAGTGATTGCCACGGGTATTAATGGGCCGATTCGATTGCAAGCGAGGGCTTCGTCTTTTTAATCACCCTTTATTACGGTATGCAACAAATCCTGATTAATCTAAAACATTTTAGTCAATCATCAAACCAAACTGCATGGTTACAAAGTGATTTTGCTTCCGTTTCCAGCCTCGGGCTCTTTAGCGGACATTTTCTCGAATACCACATGGATGAGTGCAATTCACGCGATTGCCGCACTAACTACATAGTTACCACTCAGAATCATGCGATTCAAGATTCAAGATAACCTTAGCAGATGGATAATCGATAGGAATCCCAAGCTACTAATAATGTCCTTGCGAAGCTGCTCCACACGGGAAGATTGAGAAGCAGAAAGAGCAGTTATGATTCTGGATTGTGCACAGCTGCTTCATTGATTTGTCTGAGGCTGAGGGTTTTTAATCAAACGGGGAGAATGGATGTGGTTACTTCTACCAGCAAATCGCGGTGCGCTCGCCGCACTGGATCGCTCGCGGAAGCACACTTTGAAGGAGAACATTCGAACTTTCAATAGAAGGATACGGTACGATACGGTAGGAGGATACGGTGCGGAATCACTGCCGCCTACCCTGGGGATTAAGTTTCGTCCCCTGGGAGAACAGAGCAACCATCAAACCAATATATCGAGATTCCAGCATGAAATAGAACTGTTCAGGCATATTCATAGAAACTTACCGAGATTAGCACTGATCCTGCAATGCGGACACATTTTCTTGAGTTGTGTGATAATGGTGATTGACATAAGTGGATTCCCACTGAATTCAATGATCTGTTGCGATACTGGGAAGCGGAGACTTGCAGGAATTTCAAGAATTTGGAATCTATAGTTATCAACAATTCGTATCGCCGGTTTACCTGAAATTTGCCATTCAGCAAAACCACAAATTTTCTGCCAGCCGTAGTTCAGGAAGAAAGCTCACCGGGCATACAGGCCTTCAGCACCTTCAAGTAAGGGCAACGTAAAGCTGTGTATTGTGATCTTGTAATGTCAATACAGATTTCCATGTAAATAGCTTTCGAACACATCGCATTCATCTCCGCCTCAGTGGTTGTGGTGGAACTTAGCATCAGTACGTAACCTGCTGCAGGACGGATGATTCGTTTTCCAGCACAGGCAGCAACCAATTGCTTTTCGGTGTATGTTCGGCTTTGTAAATCACAACCTGAAAATTCAGTAACTTACAGTAACTTAACTTACAGTACTGAAACTTCTTGTGTTATTCCTCAAAAGAAAGAAACATAAGTGAGAGCTTTAAAAAACGAACCTAAATTAGCTGTTATTACGCAGTGTCTACACTTCACTCTGAGCCATTCGATGATTCTTAATGATAGAAGTGGATTTTCATTGATTTCGAAAATATACGCTTTTTCGGGGTAACGCACAGTCATTGGAATGAAGAGCTCCTTGAGGAAAAGGTTGCCGACAAGTTTAATGGCTGGTCGTTCTAAAACAAATTGATGGGCTTCGAGAATGGTTTCTCCACATGGTTAGGCTTTTTTTACCTGGGAGGCATGGACGTATTTCTTGTAAGTGTGGGCAGCGAAGTCGTGTGAAGTCCGAGTTCGCTATCAATATGCAGATTTCCATGAAAACAGCATTGGAGCATAGATTGTTGATTTCCGTTTCGGTTACTTCCGTAGACGACACCATTAGAGGGAATCCTTTGTGTGGTTTGATGATTTGAGCTCCAGCGCATATTTGGACAATTTCTTTGCCCTTATACCAACGCGCCTCCAATTTGCACTGGCGTTGTGCTAAATTATTCGAATTAAGCATGATATTCACAGTCTTAGAAATGTTTCGGAAATCTGAGGAGTTCCGTGAAACAAAAATGCGAGAAATTGCACCCAAACGACATGCAATTGCACCCAATTCATCACCCTCGCAATGTTACTCCTTCGTACCGCTGCTGATTACATATTTAGCGATTAATCGAGGAAAAAGGGAGCTCTCTCCTACAGAAAGAGTACGAGTATTCTGTCTTGCTACGCAACCAGGACGATGTTGCTAAGATGGACGTAACCATCACCACACATGCAAAGTTTACCCAGAGGAGGAGTAGCGCCATTGGACTCGGGAACAACTACGAATGACTTGATTGGAATGTTTTTTGGGATACTATAAGGAAGCAGCGGATATTTTCAAACGAGACCATCAAGTTTTTGAAGTCTTTATCTTTCATTACCCTTAACTACAATCTATAAGACATTGAGTAGCTACCTGTATCCCAATAAAGGATTCAACATAGCGGATGCCTATGGGATTCTTGATTCTCGAGGTTTAATAATAATTACTTATGCACAACCATGATGTGGGGACTAATAAGGCATAACGGAACTTTTCATCAATAACTGATACTTACCTAATGAGTGCGTACTACTTCCCAAAGTAATGGTGCATTGGCTACACCATTGTTTCAGCGCGTATATTTGATTCGGCGACAATCTTGGATTTCCCGAGACTTCGATGATGAGATCGCCTTCAGGATAAATTGTTGTCGGCGGAATGTGTAAATGTTCAAATAGGATATTGTTCACAATCTTGATAGCAGGTGATCCTGACAAAGTATTGTTCCGTTATTATGAAGCCAAACACAATTCAATGAGAACCAACCAGGCAAGCATGGCCTCAATTCTTGTAGGTATGGGCAATAAAACTGCTTGAATTGGGAGTTGGTGATGGTTATGCAGATTTCCATGTGGACAGCTTTTGAGCAAAGCGCATTCAGTTGATGTTCAGTTACAGCATTGCTGTTCAGCACCAACATGTATCCCTCAGCTGGTTTTATGATCCTCTTCCCGGCACATGCAGCAACAAGTTCCGTTGTGGAGTAGCCCCGTTTTTTGAGACCGCAACCTGAAATTAGTCAACTGTCCGGGTAGGTAAACTCCTAAAGCTTGGAATGGATAACGAATAAATGGTCAAAAACTACGCTTAAACTACGAAGAGATAGTTATCTACCAAGGTTTGCAGTGATTCTACAGCCTGGACATAGTCGTCTGAGTTGATTGATGATGACCAGAGAGAGACGTGGATTTTCGCTAATTTCAAGTATCAATTCTCCTTGTGGGAAAGCGAAATTCCAAGGGATCACAAGAGTTTCCATGAAGAGGTTCTCCACAATTCGTATGGCTGGTCGACCTAAACAAAAGTGTTCATTAGGACGAGTCTCTGTGGGCCAGACAAATCACCTTGATGACAAGGGAGCAGTTGCTTCAGGTATGGACAGCGTAATGCTCTATACTGCGAATTCGATATGTCAATACAAATCTCCATGAAGACGGCTTTCGAGCACAGGGCATTCATCTCGCCTTCAGTAATCGTTGACGATTTCACGTGTATGATACTGCCTTTGAGTGGACGGATAATCTTCTTTCCGGCACAGGCCAAGGCTATCTCTCTGTCGGTATAAGTATGACTTTGCAGACCACAACCTGAAGATCAGCCATAGTAAATAAAGGCAGAAGCCGGAACTAACTGCAATGGAAAGTAGTTACTGGTAAAAGTTCTGTACCTAAGTTGGCTGTAATATGACACTGTTGACACTTTTGCTTGAGGAAATTGATGATCGTTATAGGAAGATTAGGATTCTCTGCGATTTCAAAAATGAGCACATTTGGTGGGAAACGAACTGTGAACGGAATGACTAACTCCTTTAACCAGATGTTGTCTACAATGGTTATGGCCGGCCTTCCTGAAAGAATTGGTTCATGATTTCGTTGCTTAGTTGGGGTAAATTCACAGCTCCTACCTGGTAGACAAGGACGGATTTCCTGCAGACGTGGTAAACGTAGGCTCTTGAAGTCTGAGTTGACTATCGAGATGCATATTTCCATGGAAACTACATTCGAGAACAATTTGTTCATCTCTATCTCAGTGACCTCAGATGATGAAATTATCAGTGGGAATCCTTTCTGTGGCTGGATGACTTCTTTACCGGTGCAAAGATGTACCAGTTCATTACTTGTATAGTGACGAGCCTCCAATGGACATCTCTGTGAAGTTCCTAAAAGAATAACGATAAGTCCCACTCACATTTTGCTATCCCACCCGAGCTCCACTCACCAGGACTATGAATTTGTCCTCCTCGCATTCTTGTTGTGTCGTCAGCAACGATAATACACTGCTTGCACCATTGTTTCAGAGCATTTATTTGGGTCTGAGGGATTTTCGGGTTCCCTTTGACTTCAATTATCAGATCGCCTTCAGGATAAATTGTTGTGGGCGGAATAAACAAATTTTGGAATATGTCATTGTTCACAACCTTGATAGCGGGTGATCCTGACAAAGAATTTTTTCGTTACTATGAAGTCGAACAGAATACGCTGGGAACTAACCAGGCATGCATGGCCTCAATTCATGCAGATGTGGGCAAGACAATTGCTTAAATTGGGAGTGGGTGATGGTTATGCAGATCTCCATATGGACAGCTTTTGAGCACAGGGCATTCAGTTGTTGTTCAGTCACAGAATCGCTGTACAATACCAACATGTATCCCACAGCTGGTTTTATGATTTTCTTCCCTGCACATGCAGCCACAAGTTCACTAGTGGAATAGTCCCGTTTTTTGAGACCGCACCCTGAAATTGAGGGACTGTTCAGTGTAGGTAAACTCCCAAATCTTGGAGTGGATTAAAGGCACAATTCACGATAAATTTAGGGTACCCGTTTTTTGACGGGAAATGGTAGATCCACTCCAGAATAGTGCGATAATAACGAAGAAAGCGCAAAAAANTGGACGAGTTTCACAGTGAAAAAACGGCGGCTAAGGGAAATGCGACGCAATGTCTGCAATTGCACACAACACACCCAAATCGCTGATTTTGTCTCCACTGTTGGGCAAACACTGGGCAAACAGCTGATTTCGTGCTGCAGGGTGGATCCTGACGCGAGTACATGACTCTGCCGTCTACATCTCGTATGACGTGACATCGATCGAGGGGCGGGAAAGCCAAACACGGCAACAACAGGGCTTGCACTATGCCCTGGACGTCGAGATTCGGGGAGTGAGAAGGTCCCTCCGACCATGGGGGTCGCTGAGTATTCCTAAAGGAAGAACTCAGTAACTTTTTACCGTGAATCGTGACTCTGAAAAAGAGTAGTGTATATGAGAATTTGATGGTAAAAAATTGAAGTTCGTCAGAAATTGCGCCTCGGAATGGGTGGTTATCTACCAAGGTTTGCAGTAATCTTGCATCCTGGACATAGTTTCTTGAGCTGATTGATGATGACCAAAGAAAGACGTGGATTTTCGCTAATTTCCAGAATCATTTCTCCTGTGGGATAGATAAAGTTCCAAGGAATTACAAGAGTTTCCAAATAGAGGTTTTCCACGATCCGAATGGCTGGTCGACCTGAATAAAACTACTCACTGAGTTCAAATAAGCGCTGAGATGGGGACCTCACCTGGTTGACAAGGCAGCAGCTCCTTCAGATGTGGACAGCGTAGGGCTACATACCGGGAATTCGTGATGTCAATGCAAACCTCCATGTAGATGGCTTTTGAACACAGGGCATTCATTTCAGCTTCACTTATGGTCGGCGAGTTGAACACTAGCATGTGCCCCTCTGACGGACGTATTATTCTTTTTCCTGCGCAAGCGGTTACCAGTTGTTGGTTTGTGTATGTGGGACTTTGCAGTTCACAATCTGAGAATAAACATGATCAGATGCCTTGACCTGACCATTTTTGGAAGAATTCGCCCATAGAACTTACCCAGATTGGCTGTTATCTTGCACCCTGGGCAGATCACCTTCAGTTGATTGATGACCGTTATGGATAGGTGTGGATTCTCCGAGATTTCAAAAATAAGTTCATTTTTCGGGAAGCGAATCGTGTTCATAATGAACAGCTCTTTGAGCTTCAGGTTGCCAATGATTTCAATGGCCGGCCGTCCTAAAAACTTTTTTTTGATGAGATGAGATTTGTGAGAAAGTGACCGGCAGTGTTACCTGGAAGACATGATCGTATCTCTCGCAGGTGGGGGAACCGTAGTCTCGTGAACTCGGATTCATGTACCGTTATGCAAATTTCCACGAAAACAGCTTTTGCAAATAGATTGTTCATCTCTTCTTCGGTCACATAACTTGATGATACCGTCAGATAATACCCTTTTTGTGGTGTTATGATTTCGGAACCAGCACATAGTCGAGCCAATTCCTTGTCACTGTACCTACGGCTCTTCAAAGCACAACGTTCTGAAATACATAATTATGTCGTTGAAATTTTATCAAAATCGTCAGTTGTTTTAGTACCGTAGCTATGTATAGGTAAAAGCACTGTTGAGCCTTTCACTATAAGGAACCTTTCTACGGTTTTCATTGTAGAAAAGTTTCTCGCGGTTTCCCAACAACGAGCTATTTTTTGTGCAAAAGTACTAGAATGAACTGAATTTTCGAGGGACCATAATTACGTTCTCAGCCCTCGATTCGGGAAGGTTGTTCAATCAGTAGCCCTGTATATTCAGGGTAACGGAACTTCTCCCCGATTGCGGTAATCTCTCTTCGGCATGCGGCAAATCTTACTGCAGTTACCGTACTCACCCCGCCTCCCCGCCAATCGATAGGACGCAATATTTTTCGTGATTGTCTTCCTTTTTTATATTAGTTTTGATCGTTTTTTTTCGCTTTTTTTCTTGCTTTAGTGTTTATTTGACTTGATTAATTAGAATTACTCCTCCCATATTAGCGCCGATCAAAATCGCATTGGAATTGAAGGGAGCGGCCAGCCAATCCGAATAATTAAAGGACTCTCTACATCACAAATTGCGCGCTCCAATCTTCCATCGCAATCCTGCGATACGTGGCGGGTGCGGCGAGCTCGATGCCGTGTTCGGGGGGAATATACGGAAGGCTCCTTCCCCAAACGGAGCCTGACTATTACTTATTCTTCAGATTGATAGATTTTACCACGCATTCATGTGCCAATTTGTGTAAAGGTTACTGCCGAGAGCTTAGCGCAAAAGATAGATGCGCTGGGCTGCCTTTGTATTTGAGGAACTTTTGCATCAGGTTCACTTTGTAGAACACGAACTCACTTTGTGTAGATTCTTCTATTGCACATTGAGGACATATCTTCTTCAGTTGCTGGATCACTGACGAGGGGATCATAGGATTCCCTTTCACAATCATGATACGTTCCGTTCTCGGATAGATGACTGTTACAGGAATATCGATAATTTCCAATTGCGGATTATTCACAATCGTCCATACTTGTTTGCCTGAAACGAGCCAGTCACTAGCACAAGTTTTCCTCGAACGTCGTGTTAAGCATTTATATAATATATGATTCTATTTTATTTATCATTCCTATCTAGAGGGATAAGAAAATGGGTTCCCCTTTTGGTATTAAAAGAGAAACCATGGCGTTTTGGAAGAGAATGAAAGACTGTGAAAACAAGACTCTCATTCTTTCGGAGATGACCCTTATTCTTGACCATGTTCCGCTATTTCTCCCGGTAGAACCTCATCTTGGGCTCCTGCTTCTTAGTAAATATCGTCATGCACTCCAGCTGTGGTAGAACTGAGACGGGCGAAGGGTAATGCAAAAAAAAAGAAAAAAGGGTTGTCTCTCTAGAAGTTCAGTGGCTACAATCCTGGAATACTAACGTCAGGAAGAAGTACCCGCTGCTTGGCTTCTGAAACCTGCTACAATACGCCCGCTATCACTTGTGTTTCCCCCCAGACTGTCAGACCGTCAAACTTTACAGGGTGTGAAAATAGTATGATGGAGAACGAAGAGTGTTCTTTTTCTGGAAAGTCGCAATTACGTCCCCCATAATTTCATTACCTCCCGTTGCCTACTCGAACGGTAGGTTTCGTCAAACTTGGAACACAATTTTCAAAATGTTCAAAAGTTCTTAGAAACGCATACCTGGAGCACAGGGTTTCACCAATCGTAGTCGAGGACAATTTATTGACTGGTAGTCGGTGTCAGTAATATCAAAGCATATCTGCAGATAAACTGCATTGTAACAGAGTTGATTGAATTGCTCTTGTGTGACGACAACGGTCTCGTGGTACACAATGCTTCGCTTCCCAGGGCAATTCTGCATAACCTGATCGAATGCCGGATATGACAAGGACGTTGTCGTTGCTCCACACTCTGAATAAGGGTAACATTTGCTTAGACATTCAGAATCACAATTTACTCATAGCACGACACGTGTTTCGCTGATATCACTATCCTTATTTTTGATCACTTTCTTTATCCTTTCATGTTACCACTACATATCGAAATTTATAAGTGGATTGGAGATAATATAGACCATATGTAAATATTGTATCGCGACCTCACCTCAGACCACCGGCTTCTTACAACCAGATTTGAGTTAATTTTGAGAGCGGGAGAGGTTCAGGTGATTATTGTGCCTACGACTTGCTTCACAGGCTATGCTTTCATTATCAGCCCCAGAGAACACCTTTCAGCGACAGTTTATTCTGATTGCGGTCTACCGAAGACATCATTCTCGGTTCGGGGAGAAGTTTTTGGGCACCATAGAATCAAGGCAACAGAATCGAGAAGTTAGGGAGAGTTCCGGTGAAAGCGCTCTTGAGCTGATGGATGGAAACTCTACCAAAACAATCACTCACGAGGGCCAGTTCTGTTCATCAGGGAGATACGGTACTTTTTACCCACTTAGAATTGCATAGTGATCAAGTTGGTCTCGAAGATATTGTGGGGGTGAAGATGTTTGATCGGGTAATTTCATAAACTAATTCCATCCTTTCAGGCTCTGACGAAAGTGGTTTCACCGAAACGTTAGCCATTAAGGTATTGTAACCTCGTGTGGAGTTGTACAAATAAAATTATTTCTACCAAAACCCTATTGGCCTTGGTCATCGTCCTTGTTAGTACTTAGCTTTGCAAATTGATGTCCTTCTAACTGGGCGGCTTCCAAGCCCGTAGTCACTGGGAGTGAAGAATGAATGTAGAAATCAGCGATTATCGGAAAATAGATTTTAAGTATCGGCGGCACACTCCTGCATGATTTTTAGAAGTGCTGCATGAGTGAAAGTTAAAACGTACTTGTATTCGGCTCAAATACGCAGTACTTGCATTGCTCAACCGGAGGATACTGTCGAAGTCCTGGATTGTAAACGATGTGGAATGCCTCTTCACTTATATCCCATTTGAAGGTAGTTGCTACTTCAATTGTTTCTAGATTCGGATTTCCTTCTATCAGGAACGCTGGTCTACCTGCAAACACATCTTCCATGCTGTGCTAACTGGAAAAAAGTTGCCGACCAACTTGCCTGGCTGACATGAATACATTTCGACCAGGTTGGGCATGCGCAGGTATCTGATCTGCGATTGTCGTAGAGTAATGCACATTTTTATGTAGGTGACTTCCTGGAACAGCTTTACGACAAGTTCTTGGCTCAGAGTCGAGATATCGAGCTCGACAGTTTCCCCGGCACTAGGCTTCCAGATCTTTTGAGTACCACACAGCTCAACGAATTCTTGTACATTGCTAGTTTGACTTGCTTTTATGGCACCGCAGTCTGAAACCAACATTTTTGAGACAGAAATGTCCATTTCTTCAAGATTTGATATTTAGAACTTTTATTAGGAGCTGGTTCTGGACCCCCGACGGAGAGCTTGTGTGATATCTTCAAAAATCCCCCCGTGCCCATCGCACTGGTGCACGACGTATTCTTTGAAAGAAATAGTTCTATCGGTGGACTATGTCCAGTAAAGTGAGTCTTACCGTCTACTGTTGCCCCCATACTTCTTATTTCCTATTCTTACTAAGTGTACTACTTGATGATTGCATTACTTGAGCATGGGAGAATGCGCTGCGCGCGTCCGTCGAAAGTGGGTCACCTCGCCCACTTCGTGCGCGGCGCACCACGTTGAGGTCTCAAGATGGATTACAGTACCACCAAGTGTCAGTGGAGCGAATGATTTGCTTTTGTCTGTGTTATCTTCTCTTTGAACTTACGGCCGTGGACCAAGCGTAAAGCGTATGCCCTCCTGACAACTGCGACGTCTGGCAAGCATCGCGGGCTGACTCGCCGCGTGCGGCAACTGCGGCGTGGCCTAGTTTCGACGGACGCGCGCAACGAAGCGCACCCCTTGAGCATGTGCTGCTTAGAGGAAAGACAATTGTCGCCGACGAAGCACACAAAACTGTATTCGTGCTGTCCCCGTATTCGTATGCGAGGAAAGCTGGTTAGGATTTTGCTGAAGATCGTTTTCAATTTAATCAGTATGAAGAGCGCAAACTCACTTGGTGTGAATTCTATCATGCAGTGTGGGCAGATCTTCTTCAGGGTCACGATTATGGAAAGGGGCACCAAAGGATTGCCTTTCACAACCATAATACGTTCCTCTACCGGATAGACGACTGTCACAGGAATATCGACAATTTCCAGCTGGGGATTATTCATGATTGTCCATACCTGTTTACCTGAAAACCACTATTCTTGAGCTTAATGTTTTTTATTGTAGCCTGTGAAACGTTGGGGGTGTGCTTCACACCCTTCCAATCTTACTTCTATAAATGATCAAATATGCCTATTTCTTTTATGTACATATATGTATACACACTAACCGGCCTACCATTTCTCAGAAGCCTCCGGATCCTTACCAGATTGGTGTGGGAGAACAAAGGCACCGACTCCTAATCGGCCGGACCCCAGTGATCCCGAATGAAATCAATCACTATCTCTTCTACCTACACCTATCCCGTGGTTCACAGACTTCTTGTCTCAAGCCGTATGGGCTTCACCGAACAACAACTATTTCCTTGCACTCCCACTGTGCAGTTAGAACCGTCGTGGAATGGAACAATTAGAAGAGAATAATTCAGTCTACATATCTAAGAGATAAAGCGAAGTTACGAAGATGCAATATTGGAGTCAGGAAGAAAAACCCCAGAAAAGTAGTGTTCATTAGTAAGTTAGAAAATTGAAAAGTGTAGTTTTTGAAGAAAGTGGAATTCCCAGAGACTTTGCAGCTTATTCTGCTGAGCTTTTTACCCTCCAATACAACAATGAGCATTCGATTATACGCATTTTGTCTCAAACTGTCAGGCTGTCAAATTCCACGAGATGAGGAAAAGTAAAGTAGGAAATAAAAAAGTTTATTTGGCAGGACTCAGTCGTCATCCCCTACGAATCATACGGTTCCTTATCGCCTACTTGAGCAAGGGGTTGCTACGAAATTTAGGTGAATTTCTAAAAGTGTGCAAAAGCTCTTAGAAACGCATACCTGGAGCACAGGGCTTTACTGATTGTAGCCGAGGGCAGTTTATTGACACGAAGTCGGTGTTAGTGATATTAAAACAGACTTGTAGATAGATAGCATTTGAGCAAAGTTGATTGAACTGCTCCTGTGTGACGACGGCCGTCTCGCGATATACGATACTTCGTTTACCCGGGCAGTACTGTATTATCTCATTGAGTGCCGTATAGGCCAGGGACAATGTCATTGCTCCACATTCTGAAAAAAAGATTCAAAGAATTTCAAAAAATACTAAAACAAATGATTTCTTCTCAGAGCTTTAGTATTCTTCTGACAGGTCACTCATATTACGCGAGTGTCCCCAGTTATTGATGTCCTGTCTTTGACCGATTTCGCCAGCCCCTCAATCTATCACTTCATTCCGAATGCCTGCCACCTCCAACCTCCTCCAACCGGAGTCAATGTTGAAAGTGGCAATAAGGAAATTTTTTGCCTTCAACCGACTTCATGGCAGGAATGGTATGGTGGCAAGTGGCGCATTATCTCACACGCGTGGTCATGGGTTCAAATCCGATGACTGCTTGAGCCAACCAAGCTTTCCAAATATCCGGGGACGGTTAATTGGTACCAGACTCGTCTAGGAGGATGAAAGCACTGACTTGTACTCGGCTGGCCACCGCAGGTAACTACATATATAGGCCGATTGAACACGCCACTACGATTCTGAGGGGAAGTCGAATGTGTAGGCGCATCCCTCATATGGGATTGATTAACGCCCCAAGACTCTAGACTTTAACCCGCTTCAGATGGCTATGCTCTGATGGTCTGCTTCAAAAAGTCTGCTTTCTTTGGTACTGCAACCTGCTGTTTTTCGGATTGGGTGACCTCCAATGTGATGCCCTTTGGATGTGAAAGACTGTACGTTCATCGATATACTCAATCCCAAATCATCAAAAGAAACGGGCTCTAGCCATTAAGAATACATGCCTACAAGTATTTTGAAAGCCTTCAATGATGAGAAAACTCTAAACGTACTTGTATTTGGTTCAAATACACAATACTTGCACTGCTGCTCAATGGGAGGATACTGTCGAAGCCTTGGATTGTAAACGATGTGGAATGTCTCTTCGCTTATATCCCATTTGAAAGTATTTGATACTTCAATTACTTCTAGATTCGGATTTCCTTCTATTAGGAATGCTGGTCTACCTGGAAACATATCATCTACTGAAATGTTTACTGAAAGAAGCTGCTGAGTAACGTGCCTGGTTGACATGAATGCAGTTCGACCAGGTTGGGCATCCGTAGATATCTAATCTGCGATTGTCGTAGAGTAATACACATTTTTATGTAGGTGACTTCCTGGAACAGCTTGATGACAAGCTCCTGGCTTAGAGTGGAGATGTCGAGTTCGAGGGTTTCGCCTGCGCTAGGCTTCCAGATCTTTCTGACACCACACAATCCTACGAAGTTTGATGCATCACTCAACTGATAGGCTTTGATGGCGTCACATCCTGAAAGGAATCATTTCATTCTGGACAGACACTACTTCCACAGTTCTTCAACCTGACAGATCATTCAATACAAATTCTGAGACGTCACAGAAAGCATATGTCCCAGTCAACCTTTCCAAGAGTCCCGTAAGTGTCCCACAACTAATACTGCTACTTTTGGGAAAAAATGTCACCAAGCGTGGCCTAGCCGTAGCGTGCTTCATGTGTGGCTTTTTGCGGCTACATTTTTTACGAATTTGATAATTTGAGTTTTAATTTTTTGGGAATTCGATATTTTCGGCTAATTTCATGAGCTAGTCAATGTGTAAAGAATTGAGCTATACTTATCCTCTTTTGAAGATGTATCACCCATGTGAGCTCATTGAAAACGGATCATTCCAAAGGACCTATCCCGATGGATGAGTCTACTAGCCTACTANTAGTTACTGAGTCTACAATTCGGTAAATGGCATCATTCGTGCATAGGCCGCTTTGCAAAAAGTTATCTATTGATACACAAGCCTGATTTCAGGCCGTCTCACTACTCGAGGAGAACTAAAGGGGTTTCTGCTGAAGATTGTGATTAGATAAGTCTGAAGAGCTCAAACTCACTTGGTGAAAATTCTATCGTACAGTGAGGGCAGAGCTTCCTCAGTGGCACGATGATGGAAAGCGGCACCATTGGATTGCCTTTCACAACCATGATACGTTCCTCTATCGGATAGACAACAGTCACAGGAATATCGATAACTTCCAACTGGGGATTATTCACGATTGTCCACACCTGTTTGCCTGAAAACCGCTTGTCATGAGCAGCATCGGAAGATGAGGAGCATTGGATTCATTCTGTCTTTTGTGCTTTATTAACAGTGAGGACTCAGTGCTTTGTGGGTGAAGATATAGTTTGAAGGGATTAAAATTAAGGCGTGATAGCAGTTGATAACTGTCGTTACTTGGGAAATTCTTGCTACAAAGGGTTCCCCGTCATTATGGGATCAGTAAGAAGAACCGAAAAAGAACAGTTCCCACTGGAGAATCGAATGGGATAGTCGTTGGAGAATGGAGGTTTTTGAGAAGTTTGGAGCCGAATTTGCAAATGCTAAAAGCAATATGCATTCAATCACTTAGGTTTTGCCTAAAACTGCCTGGCTCTTAGAACATGGAGGGCCTTTTGTGCCTCGATTCCCCAACACCCGTCGTCCCTTCCTACAGAAAGTTTTCTACAAATTTGAAAAAGAAAGTGTTGGAAATCTCTCTAAACACATACCTGGTGCACAGGGTTTTACTGAACGTAGTCGAGGGCAGTTGATTGACTTGTAGTTGGTCTCAATGATATTAAAGCAGATTTCTAGGTAGACAGCATTGGAGCAGAGTAGATTGAACTGTTCCTCAGTGATTACGACGACGGTCTCTCGGTATACAATGCTTTGCTTCCCCGGGCAGTTCTCCATTATCTGATTGAGAGCCGTATAAGACAGAGCCGATGTCGTTGCTCCACACTCTGAAAAGATTGAAGAAAACTGTAGGACTGGGTCGTTTCCTCTACAGATTTACCTGGCTAACCATACAAATCCACAAATAATTTGTACGAGATGTTTTTTGCCCTTACTGAGATCCCTACTCTTGGTCATTGGAGCTACTTGAAGCACAGGGCACAATTATTAATCATCAGAAAGGATTGTAAGTATGGGGAATACATTCCTGTATTATTTCCAGAAATCCAACTGAGTGAATGTTAAAACGTACTTGTGTTCGGTTCAAATACGCAATACTTGCACTGCTTGAGAGGAGGATACTGTCGAAGTCCTGGATTGTATACGATGTGGAATGGTTCTTCACTTATATCCCATTTGAAAG